AAATTAGAATCCTAAACCTACTTAAATGGGAATAAGTCCTGTTATGCAATTGGTTTCCCCCTTTCTAAGTTATACTCCCAATTTGGCTCACTGTTTGCATGAATTTACTACAAATCAATACAGGGAATAATTTCAATCACAAATGATACCCATATGTTATGGATGGGGCCTGGCAAGTATGTGTAGCTGGGAAACAGATCCCACTTAAGAAACAACAACCAGAGTGCCTTCCTTCCTTCCTTCCAGGATACCCTATATATGGAAATTCTAGCAGCTTGTGTGTGTGTGTGTGTGTGTGTGTGTGTGTGTGTGTGTGTGTGTGTGTGTTGTGTCTCTGTGTGTGTACACACAGTGTGAGGAAAAAAACCAAGAATGACCTTTCCTTACTAAGGTTGAAAGGGCGTTCTCCTTAACTTTCATTTGCAACTTTGATAGTTGGGTCTTGGCAAAACAATAGTGGGCATAAGAAAGGCTAACTTTCTAATGTAATGTTGCTAGAACCATGACCTTCCCTGACCATTCCTTTTGTTAATTAGAGCAAAGGGCTTAAACTTGTCAATAACTCATCTGCTCATGATCCCTGTCATTTCTTTGTTATCCAACAGGAGTTGGATCACCTGTTTCTGGTTTTGCCCTAACTTTCCCATTTTCCCCCAAGGCAGAATTACATTGGCTAGTGATAATTTTGTTTCAGGAAAGAAACCTCTTATCAAAAGGAGACTCTCACCTTTCTGACTAACTTAGGCTATCTTGAATTTCAATTGGTTCTTGCTTTGTTCAGTTGCTCTTATCTTTTCATACTGAAGACATTTAGAAGAAATGTAGATTTTCCTTTTTGCATCTAACACTGACCTTCTAGGAGTTGTACACCTTCACTTTTTCCCAATTTAATCCAAAAATATTCAATTTCTTCATTTAGTGTACCTGCAGTTAAGGTACCATCTCTTAATACATGTATACTATCTGAAAGATACACCTTGCAAACCCATCTCTCTTTGCTATGTCTTTCTTCATTTTAGCAAGAATCTCTGTTACTCTTTCTGTCTTCTTCTTATAGCTGAACACTATAAAAAAGTGAATCATTTCCTTAAACATGCCCTATTTTCTCTACAACTCTTTGAAATTGTTGCCTCTATCTTGTGGCCTGTGTTCAGACTAGGCTTAAAAATATTTTCAGAGCAATGAAAATAATATGAATAAAGTATTTTTGACCATCTTAATTAGAGGACTTGGCATCTGAATTAATAGGGTTTTGTTTTTCATTTCACTTCTATTCCATCCATAAGAAACCATCTTATGCTATTTGAATATTTATCCATCTAACTGATATCTCCTACTTGGATTTGGTAATAGATTTTTATAGAATAAGGAATGTTCTTAAATCTAATATAAATTGGAAAATGCAAGGAATTAATCCTGAAACTTTTTTCTTTTTTTTACTAGAGCAGGTAACATCTTTATTGGCATTACAACAGACTATAAATATATGTTTTCCTTGCTATCCATATAGGAATATAACTGAGAGCATATGGAAATGTTGTAAGAAAAATAAAAAATTAAGGAGGCCAATAGATTAATGAATGTATTAATGACTTCAATGGATTTAAATTCAATATAACTTGTTTTAATATTATGGTGTTCAGGAGCGGAGTGTTGTTCAGATGAGTGTTTTCCAATTTAATACTTGACATTCAAATCAAGTCTGCATTGTATCATTGGGATTGCAAATCTTCTGTAACCACAAAGGGAGTCTCTGACCATGTCCACGTGACGCACTCAACATGGTTTAAGATATTTATCCAGGAAATGCATGCAACATGACACAGTAAACCCAACTGGCTATTCCCTGCCTCTTCTGCCAATACTTTTTTTAAAAAAAGTTTGTGGCAATACAAAAATCAACAACAACAAAAAACAACATGCCATTGCCTGATGGAGTGAAGGAAGACTGAATCGTTCCCCCTTAACTTTTTGAATCTTGCGTTTACTTTGCACATATCTGGGAAGGGTGAAAACAAAGTGAAGAGCAGAGATATCTGCAGGGAGAGTCTGCTTCATGTTTGCACTTGCCAGCTTGACCAGAGATTAAGACCTCAGACATATTTAAATAACACATTAGAATGGGGTTTACTAAGTTCTGCTTGTAGGCTATAATTAAGATGCTCTACAATAGCACATGTTCAGAGGATCTACTACTGTAAGTGAAACGATTTTGTGCTTAATTTGTGTACAAACATTGTCACTGTCTCCCACAACCTAACAAATGAAACAACCTGGATATTACTCCACATTTTCATAATAAAGATTTCATAGATTTATTTGTGAAAGACATGCATATATTATAAAATCCAGCATTTATTGAATCATCCCTCTATTTCACAAACTGTTTATCTCCAACAGACCTTACTCTGTTGACATTCAACTTTTATTGTATGAGTCACCATTTTATTGACCAACAATAGTGCCTGTTTTAGGAGATCAAGAGGAAAACAGAACAAAATGATCAAATGTATTCCTTTTCCATATGTGCTGTTTTCTGCCTACAGATGAGATTTATAGGGCTTTATTTTAAAATTCTGCATCATTTAATCTGCACAGCATTTCACAAGCTATAATTGATCAGTTTTGAATAAAATATACTGATGACATAAAATGTTTCTTCTTTTTAAAAGCTCATAAAGACATCATGACTGCTTTTATTTGACAGCATATTATAGTTGCTAAAGGACAGTGCTGATGTTTTCATTCATCTGACAACATTACATTTTAAAAACATATATACTTTGGTACAACTATCTAACACTTATCAAAGTAATTTCTGCTCCCTTCACTGATGTTAATATCCATTCAGCATGAGAGTTGATGGAATTTTATGTTAAGATTTGAAGGAATTGTTTGGTCTCTTTTCATCTTCTGTTTTCTGCATACAGAGCATTAAAACATATTTTACTTTTTCTTGAATATTTAACTTAAGTGACTTCATGGATTTACATTTAAAATATAACATAACAAGACACTTGCTATTGTAGTAACAACAACAGGTGGTAAATACTTGTGTCATGATACAGTTCAATATGAAGAGATCTTTTAAAAAACTGATCATACTTTATACTGTATTAATTTCAGGAAAGACATTGAACAATATATCATACTGTTGACAACAGGTTTAATTCATGCCTCAGGTACAAACCTATGAAAATTGAATGTTAAACCAGGAAAGGTAGTTATTGTGCTTTCACTAGATGATAATGAGAAGGTAGAATGGTAATACAATACAACAAAGATATACCTATTATAGAGCCATATTGCCTGTTTGCATAATTATAATTTATTTCATCAGAGTAAATCTGTATTACAGGCTGAAATATTAATTTCTAAGCATAAGCTTTGGTAGGTAAAAGTTTCAGAACAGCCAGTTAGAATTTGATGTGTGATTCATAAAATCCAGAAGGCAGTCCAAGACCTAAAAATATTAGCATTGTTTCCTGTAAGAACCATTAAACAAACACTAATTATTTGAAAACATATTTTTTTAAAAAACTATTCTGTGTATGATTCAAAACTTAGAGACTATTTGCTACAGCATTAATTCACATTCTTTTAGCTATATCAGATATTAATCTCTAATTGACATGCTGCACAAATGTAAAGTTTCTGCTTCATTAAGGTTTTCCTCACTACTACTGCTAATGCATTAGAATTTTTTTTAATAACCCATAAATAATTTTTTAAAATCTATGAAGTAAGTTTGACCAAAAAAATAACATATACTGGGGCAATATGAGTTTTAAAGGATGATGACCAATGCAGTTATTATTAAAGTTTCTCAACTTGCTACTGAAATACTAGTGATTTGTGTTGCCAAATCATACAATTGATTAGCATGCTTTGTAATCATGATACCTTAATGTGCTTTAATGTATAAAGAGAATCACAGAATAATTTTTCAGCATTTAACCCATTCATATTATGTGCCATATAATAAATATTTTTTACAAGAATGATAAAAGGCAAGCAGTAGGCGCAGGCATATAAAGGTTCCTTCGTTTTAAAAAATCAAGAAGTTTTTAAAAATATACACTTGAAGTTTGAAAAACAGGATTTTTTTTTTGACTGAACTCTTCTGTTTACCCACATCACCAAACTGCTTGACCATTTTATAATGAAATTTTAAATGACCACATTGCATTCGAAACAGAATCAATCAATTGCAAGTACTATAATGGTATTATATCAAAGTTGCTTCTACTCTAAACTAATAAAGCTAGAAATCACCACACTGTCCTGCCCCAAATCAATGCAGGTTATGAAGAAAACCAAAGGCTTTCATTCCAGTCATATGGGCATGAATATCCCCCATGGAGTGGGGATCCCAGAAAATGGATAGAATCTGTTTGTTTCAGCCTTGCCAAATTCCTATGGGGAGCAGCAAAGTTGACAAGGCATTTTTCTCTTGAAGGTTCTGCTAGTTATATTCATCTCACTGGAACTGGGGAATGAAACGGAGGTTCTCTTCAATGAGATGCCTTTCAAACTAGCTTTATAATTGTTTAACTAATTTTTTAAAAAGAGGGAACTGCAAATAAATCAATCAATTCAGATCTCAAATGGGACTGATATCCAGAGCAGTGTAGAACCTTGTGTGGAAATACCCAAACTTCAAGTGAATACTTAGATTGTTTACTAAAGAAGCGGGAGGGGGGGATAACAGTCTACCAATGCATTTAAAGAATGCTACAAAATTGTGTAACTTTTAATTACTGGAAGATCATAAAACTGCTCCAGTGATTTGGTAATGTGTTGAATAAGCTCTGCATGTAAGAAATAATGAATGCTGGTGTTAATTTCACAGTATCCCTGGAGAATAAAAGAACAGAAAGTACCAAGTATATCTTACTTTGTATACTATAGTAAATTCTTATTACATTGTTAATCAGCCTTGCCTCAAAACCCCTTTATAATGAAGGATTTGAAGACATGGCATTGCTAGGATCACTCACCATTCTTATTCTTAAAGATGTTTAAAATAGGGAGAATCTGACGATAATAGGGCACTAAAGCTTCCCCCACCATATCAGCTGACACCACCAGGTGCTGAAGGACTTTGAGCGTGATGCAGATGACCTGTCGGTTTCGAAGGTTCAGCGCATCTTGGATGAACGAAAAGAGACAAGAAGAAAACAGAAGAATTAATTTCAAGAATGTAGAGGGGAGGGGAGAAATTCTCTAATGGACAAATTTAATTAAACTGTACTCTGCAGGGGATTATAAGTGGGCCTTTATTAGCCTGGCTTTGAAGGAAGCCAGAGATGGATTGCAGCCCCAGTGGTATAAAACACGGCCTTGTCTGAGGGTTATTTGTTCCCACAGTTTGTGCTGACTCTTCGGTAACCCCAAGAAAGCAGCTTATTATTCCTTCTTGTTGTCTGTCCTACTGGTTCCTGCTACCCCCACCCCACTCCCCCTAGAAAGAGAAGAAAGAAAAAAAAGGAGGGGAAACCCATCATCAGTACCATTGGGACTACAGGAATTGAAAAGGCAAAAACATGAAGGTTGACGAGACATTTTACTATAACATTTGGACTGTTTATTTTTTGCTTGCTTAGCAATCATTTTATTCCTTTCAATTAACAATTGGTACTATTTGGAGAAAAGAACAATGATAGGAATGTTTACAAAGAAAAGCTTGTAGGCTTTTTTTAAAAGACTAACTGATAAATAAGAATTCTATCCTGCCTACTTGAGAATTTTTTGTACAGTGTCAAGCTGGATTTTGCTACTGAAATCAATGATACCTTTTGTCTTGTTCCATTTCAGATTTCATTCCAAAGAAAAGAATGCTGTATTCTCCATTGTATTTCAAATTTAGATTTTCAAATGTGAATTTAAATTCAAATTTATTTATGCTCCTGCTTCCCACTCCAAAATTATACACTAGAGAGTAAAGGCTGCAAACTGTAGATTATTATGAAGCTTCATTACATATAGCAGTTGCACAGTTGCAAAGAGCAATGTCCCCAACCAACCAACAAAAACTTTCATTACATTCTGTCTATTACAGATGTCAAGTTGCAAAAGAAGACTAGGAGGGATAAATAATGCACAAATGGAGAAGCATGAATACTGTGGGTATAGAATGGGATGGAAAGAAAGAACTGCCAAATTTCCTCCAGCTCCCAGGCTCTCCTTTTCCTTGTCCTTCACTCTCATCCTTCTGCCTTTTTCTCTTGATTCTCTCACAGTCATGCAAAACCTAACTATTTGGTAAACCTAATTTAGCAATCTCTTTCTCTGCACTATAAGTTCATTTGCCAGAGTTTTCCCCTCTGCTAGGAATCAATCCCCAAATTCAACAATCAATCAAATAGGCTGACAAAATCCCAGCAAAGCTGCAACCACAGGAGTTCTCCTCTGATTATTCAACAACCATCCTACTACATGCAGCCTGTTTATTTGTATATATTTGGAAATTTTTGATTGCCTTCCCCCTATTAGTTCACCAGTTCACCAATAAAGTCTGAACTAATAGGGATTGGCAATTTCTCAATTACGCCTGGCTTTAAAATGATAGAAATGCAGTTTTCTATGTTGGAAAACATGCCATAGTTTTGTGGAATGTAGAATTTGGGAAATGCTAAGAAGAGTTGCCCTTTACCCAATTTCCCTTAAATTATGGGTTCGCAATGATTTAATTCAAACCCATCATTAGTGAAAGAACAGGACAAAGCTTTTTACTAATGATTCCAATAGGAAACCTCTAGATCTCCATTATGGAAAACCAGAAAGCCCTAAACCGTTTGGTGGATGCAATATTTAATTCAAATATACAATGTGGAATGTTTTCTGTAGTGTTGCCTCCAGTACAATATTAAAAGATTAACATAGCATTTGGCTCAAACAGAATTGTGCACTCCTGCATTTAATTAATTCAGAAACATTAAGAAAATATTTTAAAGATGTTGAATTCTTTGGCTCATCCATTTCTCTATAACCAATCTCTTTAAAATAATTGTTTTCCCTCTTTGTTCAACTGAGTTTTTACCCTGTTGCAGTAGAAATATTTCAAAACATGGTGCAGATTAACAGTCAGCTATTTTCAATAAAGCTGGTTCATTTCTAACTCAATAAATAAGTATTGTGCTAGTTGAAAATGCAATAAAACTATATTTCCTATATTGCACTAGCTGAAATTGTGATGAAGCTCCATTTCCTTAGATGGTATTAAGCTGCAGTGTAATACCTTCTATTACTGTGACTACTTGGATTTTTTTCAAGCAACACTGAAAATGAATGAAATGTGCACTTTGTTTTGTTTTCTTTAAAAAAAAAGCAATGACATCTATGGATTGGAGAAACAGGCAGTTTTAAATCATGGCCTCCCACTCTTAGCTGCTTGGTAGGGAAAGGAGCCCACAGAATATCTAGCTACATGAGTGAGAAGCATATCTCTCCCCCACTGCATTTTTTGAATGTAAGTTTTATCCAGCCAAATTGCTGGATAGCATTCTTCCAAGACAGCCTTGGAACCTCTCCCATGGCTGACGCAGATTCAGAATCTCTAAAGAGCATCAGTTAATCAAGCTGCAGCATTAATATAGGAAGACAAGTTAAACAGCTCTCCTAGCCAGGAGCTTCATCAGATACCATTTTGTTTGTTTTTTATGCTCTTAAATTTACTCTGTGAATTGTTTTGTCAGATGCTTTGCAGGCAGAAAGGGAAAATATACATTTTCCAGACATTAAAAATATATCATCACAGATAAAATATTTTTATACATGAGAGATTATTTTAAATATTCCCTGGAATTTTCATTTCAGAAAATTCCAACAACCTGACTTAAGCTCAATTATAGCTAATGATCATAGAATGTATGCATCTGGTTCCTTATCCTGGTGAAGCAACAAGGTCACTTCTGCATCACTGATGGCTATATAGTTGAAATTATGCCCATCTGCAAGCTGGAAACCCCTACTCTAGGTGCCAGATCATTAAAATGTCTAGCTTGGGGTTGAGACTAAAGGAGTACAGTAATGATTAATTTGGAAGAGGAGCCAAAAAACAGATGTTGACATAGAGGGATGGGAAAGATCTTTCTACTTTCTACTAGAGCCGTGGTGGCACAGTGGTTAGAGTGCAGGCTACTATTGCTGACTGCTGATTGCCAGCAGTTTGTCAGTTCAAATCCCACCGGCTCAAGGTTGACTCAGTCTTCCATCCTTCCAAGGTCGGTAAAATAAGGAGATTAGATTGTTGGGGGCTGAGTCTGTAAACCACTTAGACAGGGCTGTAAAGCACTATGAAGCAGTACGAAAGTCTTATTGCTATTGCTACTTCAGTGCTAACATTTGGACAAGCCCGCCTTCTTATTTCATTTAACATTTGCATGAATTTTACACTTATACTGCCCTTTGAATTTGAATGTATCTCATTTATGTATCCTGATTGGTGCTCCTCTCTATCCAATGTTATTGAAGAGATGCTTAATATTTTAAATTATAAAGACAAGTATGTATAATATTTTCACTCCCCCTTTTAAACACATTATCGAAAAAGGAAACACATTTATATAAGTCATGTGTCTGAGAAATTGTATAAACCCCTGTGATTCAGTCTAAATAGCTTTTGCATTAAAAGTAAGTGAAAAGGCTCACTGTGGAACAATAGGCAAGTAATGTTACCTTTTTTGTCAGATTTTGTTATTTTGTTCTTCATAAAGCCTTGTTATTGTTACATGTTCCATAACTGAATTATTATGACTGGGTTGAATTAACTTGTAATAGCTTCACATTGAGTAAATCTGGGGTGCTATGTGTCTTCCTCACTCTTGAGACCTTTACCAGAGGCCTGGGAATTTGAGGATTTTGTGCAGGATTTTAGCTATTCCTAGCACTGCGTTCTTCCTGGATAGAGATCTCCACTGTTATTCCTAGGATCTGTTGGAGCCATTCTCCCACCTTAAGAGTCACAGTCGCAAGTGTTTATCCTACCACTTGGAAGCACTTTGGACTTTTCCTCCGATTTCCTTCCCAATTCCACTATCAGGCCTTGCTATTTCTACAAAAGGCCGAGATAGAAAAAATTCTCGAGTTATCATATGATCTTGAATTTTCCAGTTATACTTTTCCCCCTCAAAATTTTAGTTTTGTCACAGTTGATTTGTAGTTGGCTACCTTGACAATACTTGACTAATGTTTCAAGTTGGTATTTCAAATCTTATATGGTACATAAAAGAAAGGACAATGTCATCTGCATAGAGCAAAGTATACATTTTGCTTTTGGCTAAACATGGGCAATGACTATCAACTTGAAGTAATGCAGTCTTCAAATCATTAACTTAGACCAGCGATGGCAAACCTTTTTAGCACCGAGTGCCCAAACCGGAATATATTTGCATGCGTATGCGCCAGAGCTCCAAAACCCGAAGACCAGCTGGCCGGTGTGCGCATGCCTGTTTTTGGGGTTGTTTTCAGCTATTTTCAGGCTCATTTTTGGGCTGTTTTCAGGCTGTTTTCTGGACTGTTTTCAGGCTGGTTTGGGGGGGTCTTTTTTGGGCCATTTTCAGACCATTTCAGGCTGTTTTTCAACCTGAAAACAGCCTGAAAAAAGCCTGAAAAACAGCTTGTTTCTTAAACCAGAAGAGCAGCTGGCAACAGCATACGTGCCCACAGAGATGGCTCTGTGTGCCACATCTGGCACACATGTCATAGGTTTGTCATCACAGACCTAGACAATATGGGGCAACCAATCACCTTGTCTCTCACTCTTGCTTCATTTTTAGCAAACCTTTTCTTCTACAAGTAATATGCATTATATTGTGCTGATATAAAGCCTATATTATAAACATAAGATACCTGTCATGAAACAAATTCTTTAACTGAACCCCAAATTTGGTTCTATTTACAAAATCAAAAAGTGGCCTTAAAATTTAAAAAAAAAAGAATAAATAATTTGCCTTTTAGGAAAATAAAGTATTTTCCCACCAGGTAAATTAATATAAAGTATTGGTTAGTTCTTGATCCATGATGTACCAAAAATGCATTTAAGGAAGCACATGAACCAAAAAATAAATAAAAATAAATTAAATATAGAGAAGTTAATGAAAGTAAAGCATGTTTTATGTTGTGTGACTTATACCCAACAGCAGATACGAGAGTCAGGAATAGATTTTTCTGCCACTTATTTTATTGAGACTTCCAGAAAAACTAATCTTAGTGACTCTGCAGTAATTCCAGCATATACAGGCAGCCCAAGATAAATGAACAACAAAAACTCGATTGCTGTCATCCTTAATTAACCAATAATAAAAATAATAACCCAATGCACTCCACTTCGGAAATATTACAATTAGCCCCATCAGTTTCAAAATATTGTTTCAAAATCAGGACATATTACAATGTGTGTGGGTTTTTTTAAAATAAAAGTCCAAGGCAAAGGCTTGTATTTTGTGCAAACTAGCACTTATCAAAAACTCCAGATATTCTGCTATAGGCCTGATAAGCTGCCTAATTAAATCACCAAGTTATTTATCAGGCATGTAATCTAAACAAGGCAACGAGCTGTTCTGACAATAATTTTTCATGTCAGTAGAATCATAAAAGGGCTATGCTAGGGAGAAATTATGACCATGCTGACTGAGACAATGAGTGTTATTGTTAAAGATATCTACAGGCCCCAGCCTGAGGAAGTTAAGTTCTCCTGACAGCCAAGACTACAGTATTGTAAAAGTTTCTTGAGTCCTGCTTCTGAAGTGTCAATAGATGGATTTTATGGCAAGTTCAAAACACTATCCTCTTAATAATTTTTTCTACCTGTGATCTGAGCAATAGGCTTGTCCTAGCAGAGTCTTGCCTCATTGCAATTCACAGCTTCTGATTTTCTGGGCTTAACACCCAAATGTGTGCATAGTGTTTCTCTCAATAGAGAGAAGTGATGGGCTATGCTATTCTCTTGAAACAGAAGCATCCACCCATTCCTGCCTTCCTACAATTGGCAAACAGTATGAGGTAGCCTCACTGCAGCCACTGCAGTTTCACCTCAGCCTTCCTAAGGTCACTGCCATGGCTGTGGTAGCAGAGACTAATCTGGCATTCCTAAGGCTTCCTGTTGGAGGGAATCTCATTCTACTACATACCATTGCATGATAAGCAATAGCAATAGCAATAGCAGTAGACTTATATACCGCTTCATAGGCCTTTCAGGCCTCTCTAAGCGGTTTACAGAGAGTCAGCATATTGCCCCCAACAATCTGGGTCCTCATTTACCCCTCAAAAGGTAAAAGGCACCAGCAAATTGCCCTTATAGGAAAAAACAGATTATGCCATGGTCTTCCCCTTTCACAGCCCTAGTATACCAGGTGCCTCTTTGATTGGCCATCCATTTTTTTTCCTCTAGCAGCAACCTGGCTATTATCCCAAAGGTACTATTTCAAGAGACAACTGGAATGTCTGGTTTTTCTTTGAAGACATTTCACTTCTCATTCTCTTAGAGCTGAAGAGGTTTCTTGGATGAGAAGTGAAACATCTTCAAAGAAAAACCAGAAAGTCCAGTTGCCTCTTGAGAAAGCACCTTTGGGACAACCATGACCTGGATGAATATCTATAGACACCTGGCTATTATTAAAAGCATATCAGCTATTGTAGTAACTTGTTCATAAGAGGCAGACCAAACCATTCTATATTTGCCTATCTAAAGTATAAGATTGAGAAACTGTCTTTGGAGAGAGGCTCTGTGCTTTTACATAGAAAATTTGTAATCTATTAACATTTGTATGTTGTAAAAGCTGTGCACACATAAGTAGAATAATGTGTTTCATTTTAGACACATCGACTTATTTTAAAATGTTCAATATTAATGCTTTACATATAGTCTTCAACTGAAGACCATCTTTTTAGTGTTTAAAGTTATGGTGACTTATGATGTGACATTGCACTTAAGGTCATCACAGTGTCCCTATGGTCACAATATCAAACTTTGGGCATTTGGAAATTGGCATGTATTTATGATGGCTACAGCACCCTGGAGGGATGTGTGTGTCATCTAATCACCATTTATGACTTTCCCAGCTGGCTTCTAACAAGCAAAGTCAATGGGGTGAGCCAGATTCATTTAACAACCATGGCACAAAAGGTAAAAGCAGCACAACTGTCTTAATGACTGCATCACTGAATGACCATATCACTTAGCAAGTTCCAGTCCCAATTGTGGTTGTAAGTTGAGGACTACCTGTATTGAATCCAAATCCTGGCATATGTCAAAAGAAGAGTCATTTCATTGTCTCCCAAATAATGCTTGTGTCCTGAAATCATAGTCTGAGATTCAAATACAATCGTGAGCTATGATCAATGCACCAAGATTTATCCATTTGCATTATATTGAAGAAGGAAAAAGGGAAGGGTATGCAAGAATAATGCAGGCAGGCAGTGGCTCTTGCCTAACTTTCAGAACACAAAGCGGTTTATCAGAAATAGAACATTATCTCCTGATGAGGAAAAACTTGACTTAGAAAGAAAAATAACCAAGCTACTCAAAATAGTAAAATAAAATTTTTGAGATACTACAACTATTTTGCTTTTCATATCTAAGTATTTTCATATCTTAGTTTGAGGAATATAAAAAGAAGAATGAAAAGAAGTTTAACAACTTGTATACTGCACCATGGTTAGAATTAGAGTAAGAAAATAACAAGTCAGGCCAAACAATTATTTGGACCTTGGTTATGGCCTTACAACTGACTCTTCATCTACAGTACTATAAATACAAGGCCTACCATACTTTATTCCTTAATTAGCAGCCTGTCAAACTCCAACCCCCACCCTCCAAACCCTAGACTTTATTTCACTCTCCATACTTACTTTTTATTGGAATAATGAGCTGAGGAATGACAGGAAGGATCTTATTCCCACCATGCTCCAACATGTCATGGATGCCTTGCCGAGCAAAAAACTCATAAGGAAATTGCATTTCACACAATCCATCAAAAAACAGTGGCAAATAGTGGTGGTAGTCCAATTTTTCAATCTCCACCTGGAAATCCATGCAGAAAAGAAGTCAATCAAAACTTATCAACTATGTTGTCCTATTACAGTAATCTTCACTACAATGTTCTATTGAGCAATCCAAATGTTAATATCCATTCCGTTTCACGTAATGATGGCTATTTTCCTTCAAAGCAGAAAATTAAAAAGAAACTGATCTTTGATGCTTGTATTTTCAAATATTATTTGATATGCTGCATCCATTCATTTTGAATGGATAGATCCTTCTGGTAAGGAATAAAGCTGAGTCTAATAAATAACGTATTATGGAAGACTACCAAAATGTATATTGTAAAGCTGAAACAGAAAATAGAAGTGCTTTCCAACATTATATATTCCCAATAATAAAACTGACATTTACATCAATGCAGAACTTCTAATTGTTCTAGTTATATATAACCACAATACATTTTTTCCATTATTGATATGTTACTAAAAACAAAATATTAAACTGGATTTACTCAAATAGTTATGAAAACAACATTAATCATATAAATCTGAATGAGTTCACTTTGATGTGATATATCAAGGAAATTAGCTGATCAAAGGAATTATGTGATAAATTTATGATCAAAATGCATTTTATAGCATTCTACAGGAGAAAACAAACCTTGTGATAGTGATGAAATAAAGTCAATCCCTTTATTTTGAAGTGAAGACTACAAAAAGTGAGAAAAAACTTTCTACTCTTATTGCACTTTCATGGCCTTTTAATGATAGTTTAAGCATTTCAATTATGAGGAATATCTTCCTACTAGTATTTATTCCATCGTGTTGCAAAATGTATTTTAAAAAATTGTGATGGATAAGAATATCACCTGATATTCTTGATTATTTTTTATTTGAGAGAACAAAGCTGATTTTATACAACTCTGAGTGAAGTTACATTTTGTTTTATATAATTAAAGAAGACCACACTGGTTTTCAGGTATTACTGTTGGAGATGATCAGGCTGAGCCTGAGGGTGGGGTCAAATGCATCATCAGTTTGGAGTCAAGACACCTTCATAAGAGGCTTAAGTCCAGACCTCCCTTGAAGTCTGTTGACTCTTATCTAGCATCAATTTTGCCTTGACCATTAATAGATCAGATTGTTGTGCATACGTTACATGGAATAAATGAGTAGTGCTTTTGAATTCAATCCTGGTTCCAGACTTCCTGTGCCTGACAATTACTAACCATTCTCATTTCCTAGATAACATTCATTAATGGAGTTTATAATACATTTCTGTTTTATAAGACTTAATTGACAAAATACTATTTTTATTGCAATATCTTTAATTTTGGAATAGATTGAAAAACCACATTAAGAATTGTGTTTCTACAGTACAGCTGTTTGAAAAATTTGCACAGATTGGCAACTCATACTACTTTGGAAAAAGCTTAAAACGATATTGGATTTCTTGAAGAATCTGCTGGGAGGGTGTGAAACCAACTGTTCTTCCAGTGTTAAATGTCCTCCCACCACATGGAATCCAGAAATATTTTAGTATTACATTTCACAGTGTGAAACCTTTTGCTTCTCTGTTTATGACTTAGCTTTGAACAATAACTATTATGCAAAAGGGCCAAGATAAATAGGATTTTTGTTGTTTACACCCATAACATGCTTCTAAATTTTTCAGCTCCTCCCAAAAAAATATTCTGAATCAAAACTAAAAATCTGTATTCAACTGAATTTATTGAGACATTGGCACTGATTCATTGAGTGCATTTTTCCTTTTTTCTCCCCCCCCCCAAAAAAATATCAAGAGTAACTATGAATCAAGCCTATGCAACACTATATGACCTACAAAAGCAAAAGGGTAATAGAGAATTGATCATTCACATTTTTCTGACTTTTTTTAACAACACATCAAGATATTGTTCCAATGGAAAAATGCATTATTCTGGTAAAACTGCACAAAGGACAGTGAGCTATTATCTAGTCATTCTATCCTTTACTACTTTTATTTAACTAAAGAAAACAGATAGCATACTTTGAAGTTTCCCTGAGTATGTTAGATTCAAAACACAATGATCTTTCACCCTGTCTAGGAATGATTATATATGACATATTGTGGACATCTGATCAAACAGCTGCTAAAATACTCAGATTATTAATATAATACAATGGAAGTACCAGATGATAACGGTTTTGGAACAGCTGCACTGAACTTTCTTGCTTTTTTATAGCTCAAGATCATGCAGGAAATTAAACTATATTATGAGTTGTTTTTGAACTATTTCATCAGACTTACGAACATCCAGATATATTCTTTACCACTATCTTTAATAAACATATTATTCAGAGATAAAATTATATCAAGTAAATGTAGTTATTTTGCAGCAACTCAAGACAGAATGAAAAAGAAATAGCTTCACCAACCCGAAAAGATGGAATATTCCAAATTATTAGTATTATTTAATGCTTAAACATGGGCATCTTCAGACAATTTTTAATGAGAGGAACTCTATTAATATGTCTACTTCTTTCTCTCTCTTTGTGTGGATAGACAGACATATACACACACAATTATTGCAGCATCCCTATGAACACATGATCAAAATTTGGGTGGTTTGCAATTGTATGTATTTATGACACTCTCCTGGAGTCACACGATCACATTTTGCAATCTTCCTACATGCAAAGTCAATGGGGAAGCCAGATTAATTCAACAACTGCATGATTCCATGGAGCTAATTTCACCACCAGCGAAATATGTTCTAGTCAGCAGGGACTATAGCAGAAAAGGTGTGTCTTCTGGGGCCTACAGATGGATCTCCTTAACAAACAGGACCTGGGGCATACCTTTTCTGCTGGATCTGCTGGAAGAGATAGATATAACTAGGAAGAGGCAGTTCCTGAACTAATCTGGTCCCATGCCATGTATGGCTTTAAAGGTCAAAACCAGCACCTCAAATTGCACCTGGAAGCAAACTGGAAGCCAATGCCAGTTATGGAGCCAAAATGTAAATATATATAAATAGAGCAATAGCAATAGCAATAGCAATAGCAA